ATATAAATAAATAAAGTAAAAATATATAGGAAATTAATTTGTAAGAAGCCCAACAAAAACACAGGGTCTTAAAATCCTATTAATTCACTGAGAGATGAAAAATACACAAGTTAAAGTTGTATCTTATCACACAAAATTAACATTGTTAAAACAAAACAGCACAGTTTAAGTAATTCCTAACCTGAATACCCTTACTGTTACTAGCCTGTGAGAGAGCTGCTTACAAAGTTTTGTAATTCTCTACTGTTAACAAATACTCAGAGATTCTCAGGAACTAGAAAACAACATTTTTTGTCTATTCTTCAATAAAACAGTAGAAAAAGCAATTTCTCTTTTAACCTCTTAATACATACAATGATCAGTTGAATTTTAGATCACCTGTTACAAAGATTCTTCTGATATTTAAAGTAAATCATTACATTTCACACCATCAATAACTTCTGATTGTATTATGTGCCTTGTGTAGAACCAAATGTATGTGTAACTTTGCAGGATCAGGGCTTACTTCCAACTGCTGTGTAACAGCACAAGCACTGAAAATACAACAACAACAACAACAAAAACACCCTGCAGATTTAACAGCAGATGCTAGTTTTCATTTGTAAACAAAAAATTCTCTACTTAAAACATGTAAAATGTATAGTCACTATGTTTTGATTATATTGATAACAATTATTATGACATATGCCCTACATACTGTATGCAGCTCTAAAATCTCTGGAAAGCAAGAAGCAACTTGTGGAAAACAGTAAGAACGATTGAAATAAAACTTGATACAAATGACCTTATTTTAAAATGTCCTTTCCATATGAAGTCACTTAAAAACATGTACTGTAAACCTACCTGTTCTCCAGCCACTGTACATACTATTGTCTAATAATCAGATGACAATACTTTTAGATGTTTGTCTTCTACGGGTTTATTAGAAAAAATAAATACTATCTTTCTGTTCCTTCTAATAGGTTTGGGAATCTTACCTATTTAATGGCATGCTGCCCTAGCTAAATGATGAATCCTGTCTATTGCTTTTCAAAAGCACCAACCTTCTCAAAAACACTGGATGGTGTCATCAAACAAAACCTGATGTTCTGAATGATGGTGTCCGTATGCCTCCAGCGTCTTCTATCATGGCGCAGCCAGGCCTGAACAGCTTCATACAGCTCTATCTCTGGAAACCTGCTCAGATGATCATTATCCAAGTAAGACATGAGCTTCTCAAAGCTCAGATATGAAAGGAAGTCAGGTCTGGACATGAGTGGCACAAAATTCTCTAGCAGAAAGGAGTCCAATTTTTCCCTGACTCCTTCGATGTTTACACCAAAATCATCCAGAAGTCTCATAATCTCTGCACAGTTTTCTAAGCAGATTTTAGCTAAGAGAAAAGAGCAGCAAAATTTTACCACCTCAATAAGCTGGACATACATGGCAGCCTGAAGGATTTCATGAACAGTGTTCATACTCAGTTCAATAGTTCCATAGTACATGAACTGGAGGACATGACTGAAGCCTGTAGCTGTCAGACCTTTCAAATGGATTTTGTCCTGATCTCGTTCTCGCATATCAGCTGTGAACATAATCCTGAAGTAATCACTCTGGGTGGCAAGCAGTGCTTTATGGGCCTGAAATTGGTGGTCTTCAATGACAAGTGTGACATCAAGAAGCAATCCCTCCTCATACAGTGCTCTGAATCCAGCAGAGACACTGGTGTCATGGATGGAGGAGCTAAACCCTTCCACGTCCCCTGCCATGAATCACCTGGGGGGAAGAAAAAATAAATAAATAAAAATAAAAATAAATTGTTATTTCTAATAACATACCACAAGCCCTTCCTGACCAGATAAATCCTAACTGAGATTGCTTTCATTAAGATTTAGAAGCCTTCACCATCCTTTTTGCTTTCTTTTCAGCTGAAAAATCAACTTAAGAAACAACTTAAAACACAAACTTTAAATATTTCTCCCCCCAAATTATACTCATTTTAAAGAAAGGGTAATGAACAAGAATAACTATGCAATACCGCCAGAGTGATTCCTCACTCCAAGCTATTTAGTGGTCAGATAATGAATATGCAATGCTAAAAAGGTTGTAATGGTATTCTTCCTCTCCCCCCCTCAATCTTTCTAAAGAATTTATCTCAGGGGAGCAATAAAACACCCACTCTTGAATATCAAAGGTTTCAGAAAGGAAGCAGAACTTCCTTAATCTCAGAAACAAGCTCCAGTAGATCTGTACAAAGTGTAACCTAAAAAAATTTTAGTCTTTTTAAAAATATATGTCAATTTACTCGAAAGTTATTTCTAGGAAACTGAACATTTTCAGAGACACTATTTAAGTTTGTGTGTTTCACTTCTCCTATAACAACACAGTCCCTTTTTCCCCCCATTTCCTACCATAGGGATTAATTAGGTGATGAGATTTATAAAGTGCAAAATAATAAGGCAATGGGAAGCGCTGACAAGATTAGGTCACAATAAATAATATTCTGTATACTGGGTTTAGTGAAGCTTAATTGCTTACTAAGCATTTGAACATTTGCAGATGCAGCGTTACTTACATGCAAGCTATAGTCAAACTGTAAATAAGCCAAAAAGAAATTAAAGACTAGCAGGATCCTACCCTGTTAAAGTTAAGGAAGATAAATATTCAACAAAAATCTGTATCAAAACCTATTCAAAATCCAGGAATTTCTCAAAATCTTGCTCAACTTCCTTGGGTTTAGGTAGGGTGAAGTTGCACAAGGCAGTTTGAACTAACCTAACAATTTATCACTAGTCAAAGGGCAACGGCGCACTCCATTCTTCCTCTCTGTCCTCATTCTGGGGTCCGAGCTCCTGCTGCCTACTTTGAGCCATTTCTGGGACTCACTCGACCGCTCTAGAAAGCCAATTCAACTCATAAACCTGACAGAAAGCTAATCTGGGGCTGGGGGAGAACAAAACAAACACCACCACTCCCCAGCGCACATAAAACCTCAAAACCAGAGAGCTTTCTGCTTATCAGTGAGCTGACTTCTGACTTGACACAGCAGGGGGTATGGCAAAAGAACCAAGCTGACGCAGAGGGCAGGACATCACACATGAACAGGAACAGGGAAGAACAGTAACATCTTCCCTTTTTGACGTTAATCAGCTACTAGAACTGGTTCAACCATTTTTGTTGCACTTTATCCCACCTTAAATTACACTGCAACATTCACTCAGTTATTTGTGCATTTAACTCTGAATTTCCTATAACAATTACAGTTAATAATGTTTTGGTACTGGTAACCTACATGAAAAGCTAAACAACACCAACATCAGCACATTTAAAAACCTGCTAATTTTCAAAGTTATAGAACTTTACAGCAGCATATGGACACAGAAGTGACTCTAGGTTGGCCCAGGTTTCACAACTTCAGAGAGCAGTTATCATGTTACTCCCACTTCCTCAAGCACCACATCCTTCCATTTTAACTGGAATGTATTTTATTAGACTCCATCAACAGATAATCATCTCCCCTCTTTAATTCATCAGCACACGTTCTGGAAAACAAAACCAAAGATACTCTTTGTCTATGCAAAACTAAAATGGTGAGTGGGTGTTTGTAGCCACACCTCATGGAATTAGCACCGCTCCCACGCTGTTGAAGCCTGCTGACAGGTTCTGTGCACAATAGAGTTAATGCCGGGAGCGTTCATGAAAATTAAGGCCTTATGACAAAATTCAAATTCCTGAAAGTAAGAGCAGCAGCAAAAGAACAGAGCTGACAATCCAATCACTTCCTCGTCAGTATCCACGATAGCAGACTCCCCTCAATGTCACTGAAGACAGAGAGAAAATGCAAACTGCTCTGGAGCTTCATATTGCGAGTCCCTTATTCAGCACATGCCTACCAGAAAGAAAAATTACCATCAAATATTTTTCTTAGCTGTTGCTAATTCTTGCATAAAAGCAGACAAGGAAAGAATTACTCTACTAACTCTTAGTAAGTTTACTAACTTACTTGAGGTAAAAAGAAGCAACAAACTGAAGAGGAAGTATAAAGCCTGACTTCTCAGGATTTTGCTTTCTAATGGGATTTCTGATATCAAATGAAAGGTAAACACTAGTATTAGCCTTTTTTCTTTCACTAAAGCACTTGTAACACCTCTCCCCCAGTTCCCTGATGAGCTCATATTCAGTCTTTTCTCTTTAAGAGATTTAATGGCCATTTTCATAAAATATACAGCAACTTGAAACAACTATGTCTCAATTTTGTTTGAAATTGGCCAAGAGGTTCAAAGGTTACTAGGATTCTCAGACAGTACAACTGTGTAAGTTACATTTCTTTAGGAGACCAACTAAGACATATGGCTCAGCTTCAATTCCAAAAATCAATGGAAAAGACTGGGCAGGACAGTCGGAATTTACAAATGTGAGACATGAACAGAATAACACAACAGTACATTCCGGGGGAAAAAAGTCAGAAATGAAGCAACATTCCCCAGGTGACTGAAGCAACATATATTAATCTGAAAATAATGGGATCTCCCATCACACAGGCTCATGCAGACGGCAATCTCACGGAAAGGATTTCTTCAGAATAGTACATACATTACTGCATGTGTGAACAACATAGAAGAACTGTACCAGTAAGCTCCAAACACATACTAAGGTATTTCCCCATAACTTGAGAAAGATAATTACATTATAGGCATTCTGCAAATAAAAGGAGAGAAACTAACTTTTACATAGGACAGCTTTAAAAGGCCTTTTTCAAAGAAGCAAAAAGGAAAAGTTGGCAAGTGAAGATAAGCAAAGACAAATGGTAGAGGGTAAATGCCCCAAATCCGGAGGAGCACCTCCAGTGTTCCTTTTAAGGATCCAAACAAATAAATAATACACAAAGGCCAAAAACCAGCATCAGAGAGAGTCCTGGGCAACCAGCTCTAGGTGGTCCTGCTGAGCAGGGGGGGTGGACCAGGTGACCTCCAGAGGTCTCTTTCAACCTCAGCTAGTCTGTGATTCTGGGATCAAGTTGCTTTTACATAGAGACTGCACTGATTTTTTTTTTTTTTTTGTGACCATCCTTTTAATTCTGATTAAATAGCAGTAAGACACGCACACACAAAAATCAGATGTAAGCTACTACCCTTCAAATTTTAAATCTAAAAATAAGGTTTTAGGAATCACCAAAACACATTAAAAACCCCCCCTGCATTTAGGGAACACCTTTTAAGGTTCTAATTTTCACATCTCCCTAAAACTGACTATTCTGTAAAAATATATTGAAACCAGAAGTTGGCCGCAGAACTCTACAATGCTAACAAAGTGGTCAACACTCTGAAATTATTATTTCAGAATGTTTTAAAAATGTGGGGGTTTAAGTCACTTAATCCTTCTTTTCACATCCCTGCTTATATTATTTTCAGTAAATCTACAGTTTTCAATCTCAAAATGTTCTTCCTCCCAAACATCAGACAGCATTTAATGCATTATTTAAGTAGAGACAAAACCAGTAAGACTTCTCCATAACACTGTCTAAAGAAGCTTCAGAATTTTATGAGTGAAAAGCAAAAGACTACTTGTCTTCCTGCATTAAATAAAAGGAGTAAATACCCTTTTTTTGGCATAAAGCCATACAGAATATCAGCAGATATATTTTTCTTTACAACACAAAAATGTATTGGCCAGTGCAAATACACAAGGAGGTTAAAATAGCACAGAGACTGGGAAACTAGATGGTTAAATGCATATTATGATCAACTGGTAAAAATCTTCATTTCTATAGCTAATATCCTTAGTCAAAAGCAAATAGTAATGTGGTAGTTTGAATATTAAAAAAGCAATACAAAATACTCTCAAATGAAGTCATTTTTCTAAAGCATAGCTATGCCATTCCTCCCACACACAGATTTGCAATCTTAGATATAATTCTATGCACTATTCAAATGCTGCAGCTTATTTCCCAGGACAGTAACATAACGATTTTTTTTTCATATTTTCAATAAAAATGCAAAATTCAGAGTTAGATTTTCTTCACCCATGCAAATCACAATAGCACACTTAATCCTAAGGAAGACATGTAGCCTACAGTGGTCTGTAAGAAAACTGGCACAAAAAATTCCAATGTATAAACAATAAAGTGGGGTGTGTGGAAACCTACGTTGACGTGCATTGTTCTGCGCATACTAGAGCTGATCAGTATAATGCAGCACAGGAAGTAAGATTCTCTGCTGAAAAGCCAAAAGAGAAATACACTTAACCTTATTAGCTTTTCCTGACATTTCTTCCTCTTTTAGCACATAATGCATTACAGAGTCTTCTCTGCCGTGACTGTAAAAGCACTTACTTGGAACACTGATTTCTCATCTTTATTCCGCAGCTGTAATAAAAGTCTGAAAACCCTGTTCCAGACTGCTTTTCTTGCTAAACAAGGAGAACCTTCTTTCCTCAGGGTGTCTGAGGCTCTTAGTCACAAGCAGAAGAAATGGAGTCTAAATGCACAGGCTATAGAGAAGGTAGTTATGGAATACCCACTTTTGGCTCATGCCCTGCTTGATTTAAAAATCTATCCAAAAGCAGTACTTCCTGAAAAAGTGCCCTTTAAGTAAGTGTGTTTATGTAATATGAAGCTTATATGTACTTTCTAGGGATAGAGATGTATTGTTCTAGGAAAGTATTGACAATACCAACTCTAGCACACCATCTGAAAGGCAGATTTCTGCTTTCCTTTACTGCTGTTCCTTAATAACTCATTTGAGATGCTGAAACAGAACTAGCAAGTTCCTTT